TTGTCCTGGAAGCTCTTACTAGCATTCTGGGAAGAGTCAGCACATGAAACTACATGTGCTTGACCTGTCAGCATTTCCCTTATTCAGCCTCCTGGCCTCAACATGACAAAGTCCCTTCTTTTACTATCATTGTCTTCTTCTAGACATTCTCAGCTAGACTAATTGGTGATTTTTGTCTCAGTGCACCATTCTCGTTGTGCCAAACTGTGGACTTGGTTTTGTCTCAGAGAACCAGTACAACGATGCCAGAGAATTTAGCACTGTATCTGTGATAGGAAACTATTACAGCATTATTAGTTTCGCCATGGGACTGCCAAAATCCGTGTGCACTTCTGACCATGCCTTTTAATTGAGATGTGATTGTGAGAGTGAGGTACTTAAGTTGCTTCTTACTTTCTGCTGTGGGCCCCTACAAGATATCTAGTATATTTGTGTACAAAATGCATCTATATATTTCCCAACAATTTTAATGTAACTTTTCAACTAAAGAATATGGAGCAGTCTTGAAAAGCACCTTAGAAATGTCCAATTTTGGATAGATAGTCAAGAGGCCACAAGAGTATAATTAGATGACTACACATAAAAGACTGTCATTACAAAACATGCTACTACAGTGTTTCAAATCCATAGATCTGCCAGATTTCTTAGAAAGACATGATCAAATGGGATTTCTTTGCTTTATAGAGTGAAAAAGCTGAACAATTCAATAAAACAGAACACTTCTTTCTGGTCATTTATTCAGGTGCAGACAACCACTCAGCATGGGAGAAACTCCTTCATTAAGAAGGCCGCAATCTTAATGGCTACGTCTACACTGGCCCCTTTTACGAAAGGGGTATGCTAATTTTAAACTTCGTAATAGGGAAATCCGTGGGGGATTTAAATATCCCCCGCGGGATTTAAATAAAGATGTCCGCCGCTTTTTTTCCGGCTTGGGGAAAAGCCGGAAAAAAGCGTCTAGACTGGCCCGATCCTCCGGAATAAATCCCTTTTCTGGAGGATCTCTTATTCCTACTATTCAAAGTACCAACTTGACATGCCACTTGCTTTATATTTTCTTTGCAACATGGCTGGCTTGATTAGTGGTCATGTGTATATATAATTATAAAAAATATAGCATTAAAAACTCTCTGAAATGTTTGACTTTGCCTCACTATAGAAGGGAAGGAATAAGGAATTACTATTTTTATTTTTCCGTAACATTCATCTCATGGTTTCTTCTTTTCAGCTTTATGGAATCTGAATGTTGTTTAAGAGTGACCAATCAAGCCAGCATATATAACTGCCGTAGTGCTGTGTTGGCAGAAATCACTTACCTCAGATTGAATGGTTACAAGTTGGTTAATTGAAAAAATAGGAGTGTCTGTCAAAGATGTATACAAATTTCATGAAATTTACAAAGGTGACAGATTTTGAGATGACAGATTATATTTCAGGATGTATTCTTGTAAGAGGTTTCAATGACTTACTTGTACGAATATCTATGGTGGCAGACTCTCCTTGTTTTCTTGAAAGAGGTTTCAATGACTTACTTGTACGAATATCTATGGTGGCAGACTCTCCTTCAATCTCTGCAATTCGTGCAAAGACCTTAATTTCATACAAGGTACCAGGTTGTAATCCTGTAATGTTTGCAGACTTGTTTTCAGAAGTGGTGTTCGCTAGAGATGAATTTCCCTTAATTCCATAGAGTATTGTATAAGTGTAATTAGAAGCATGAAGATCTCTGTTTTCCCAAGTCAAAGTTATATTTTCTGTACTGACATTTGTAGCATTGAGACCACCAACTACACTGGGTTCTGTTTGGTAAAAAACCATATGCATTAGTAATATGGCAAAAATATATACTGAAAGGAAAACAAAGCAAAAAATACTCCAGTATTAATTCACATAATTGTAGTTTTACGCTACGGACTTATTTTATAAGATCTACCACAGCATTTGATAGCAGTGATCTAAACATCTGTCGCTTAACATCATGTTTTATTTTGACCTATGGGTACTGAGTACTAATATCAATTTCATGCGGAACAGAACCAAATGTCACTTCTGTCACTATGTACATACAGTGCTTTTTTTTGTTAATTAAAAAAAAAAAAAGATGCTGGTCCTCCAGGGGAAAAGGATGCCAGTACTCCAGGGAAAAAGTTGTTGAGCTCTGACTGGAGGTGCCTGTATTGTGTACTGGGCAGTACCATCACAAAAAAGCTATTCCATGGCAAGACAAGCTGTTTTGTTTGTTAACGTAGCTCAATCCACATTCATGAAATGCAGGGGTGAGGAATCTCAGGCCTGGGTGCTGGATGTGGCCCCCGGCTTGCCTGGATCCAGCCCCTGAGGCTCAAATTCCCCCACACCCTCACAGCATTGGGGAGCCCACACACCTGGATCCAGCCCCTGAGGCTCAAATTCCCCCATCCTCCCACAGCACTGGGGAGCCCACACTGGCATTTCAGCCCCTCCACTGGATCACACCAAATCTACTAAACTGGGCCTCTCTAGGCTTTGGTCTGTGAGAGAAATGTAGGGAGGATCACTGTCCTTCTCAGTTTGGGGTCACGTGCATTAAGGTTCTAGCTTTTTGCAGCCCCCGACGGATTTTTCTGTGGGTCAGTGGCCCGTGAGCCAAAAACGGTTCCCCGGTCCTGATGTAATATCTTCCACGTGGCTTTGTTCTGGAAGCTCTTACTAGCATTCTGGGAAGAGTCAGCACATGAAACTACATGTGCTTGACCTGTCAACATTTCCCTTATCAGCCTCCTGGCCTCAACATTACAAAGTCCCATCTTTTACTATCACTGGCTTCTTCTAGACATTCTCAGCTAGACTAAGTGGTGATTTGTCTCAGTGCACCATTCTCGTTATGCCAAACTGTGGACTTGGTTTTGTCTCAGCAAACCAGTACAAAGATGCCAGTGGATTCAGCACTGTAAAATCTATAAGTTGCAATGTTATGAATCCTGGGATAAGTTCCCAGATAGCTGTATTGCTTGTCACCACCAGGAATCATGTCTGTGTCAACACAGAGCATGACAGCAACATGCTAACATAGACAGTGTGGCTGTGTAGTAGCAGGTTAGGCTACCATACACTGACTCAGATATGTGCCTCAGTCTCCCCACTGTACAATAGGGAGAATACTTCTCACCTTGCACAGACTGTGGTGAAGATGTATCCATGTATATTTGTGAGGTGCAGGGAATTAAGTGAGGGGAGGCCAAATAGATAGTAGGTAGCTTGTTATTAATCTGACAGACCGGCTGACGCCCAGATAAACCTGTTTAGATACTAATTTTTCTGTTAGTCTTAAAGCTGAGAAAGCTAATGTTGAAGAGAATCTGGAGGTGACAAGTTTCAGAATGGTGGCCATGTTGGGCTATGTCTACTCTACACTGTTCTTCCAGAAAAAGCTACGCAAATTGCGAGCCACAATTTGTGTAGCTTTTTCCACTTCTTTTTTCTGACATTTGGCCCGTCTACACTGAGCCAAATGTCGAACCTCCCCCCTTTTTTGGAACATCCTTTTTTCTTTGTAAAACAAGGTTTACAGGGATACCAAAAAAGCATGTCTGTCTTCCGCAAAAAGAAGTGGAAGAGCACACGTGTTCCCTGGACGCCGCTGAGTTTTTCTGGGATACCTCTGGTATTCCGGAAAAACCCTATAGTGTATACACACTCAGCGTGATGCGATGACTGTGGAAAGATGCGCTCATTGTAACACTTACTCTTCTATTTATTTCAGTGCTAAAGTATATTATAAATTCTGTGGACCAGACTGTTAAGAGTTGCAAAACCACACCTTGAAGATGACTGGCTTCAGTAAAACTTTGCTAATTTACGCAAGCAGAGGATTCCGGAAAAACCCTATAGTGTATACACACTCAGCGTGATGCGATGACTGTGGAAAGATGCGCTCATTGTAACACTTACTCTTCTATTTATTTCAGTGCTAAAGTATATTATAAATTCTGTGGACCAGACTGTTAAGAGTTGCAAAACCACACCTTGAAGATGACTGGCTTCAGTAAAACTTTGCTAATTTACGCAAGCAGAGGATCTAACCCATTTTCTTTTTTACAATTATTTTTCAAGGTGCCCCTTTCCTCCCACCCACTGCTTTAAATTTTCAGTTCTTACTACTCTATTATCAATCTCTCAATGCCCCCGATCACTGTCCCTACTGGAAAAGATTTTATGTGAGCAACCACCACAGAACAGATGACTGGCTTCAGTAAAACTTTGCTAATTTACGCAAGCAGAGGATCTAACCCATTTTCTTTTTTACAATTATTTTTAAAGGTGCCCCTTCCCTCCCACCCACTGCTTTAAATTTTCAGTTCTTACTACTCTATTATCAATCTCTCAGTGCCCCCGATCACTGTCCCTACTGGAACACGATTTTATGTGAGCAACCACCACACAAATGGATTTATGCTGACATAAAAATAATCTCCAAACATTACTAAGTCTTCATGTAATCCAATTAATTATGGCATGTAGTCAAAACACTAAGGGAATGTGTTTAATGAATCTTGTGAAACAGTGAAATGTATGATACCAACTTGACATGCCACTTGCTTTATATTTTCTTTGCAACATGGCTGGCTAGATTAGTGGTCATGTGTATATATAATTATAAAAAATACAGCATTAAAAACTCTTTGAAATGTTTGACTTTGCCTCATTATAGAAGGGAAGGAATAAGAAATTAGTATTTTTTTCTTCCCTAAAATGCATCTCATGCTTTCTTCTGCTCTGTTTTACAGAGTCTGAATGATATTTAAACAGCTACCAATCAGGCCAGCATATATAACTGCCATAGTGCTGTGCTGGCAGAAATCACTTACCTCAGGATGAACGCTTTCAAGTTGATTAATTGAAATGTAGGCGTGTCTGTCAAAGATGTGTAAAAATTTCATGACATTTACAAAGGTGACAGATGTTGAGATCGCAGATTATAATTTCAGGCTGTTTTCTTGAAAGAGGTTTCAATGACTTACTTGTATAAATCTCTATGGTGGTAGACTCTCCTTCAATCTCTTCTATTTGTGCAAAGACCTTAATTTCATGCAAGGTACCAGGTTGTAATCCTGTAATGGTAACAGAGTTGTTTCGGGAAGTGGTGTTCTTCAGAGATGAATTTCCCTTAATTCCATAGAATATCCTATAAGTGTAATTAGAAGCCTGAAGATCTCCGCTTTTCCAAGTCAAAGTTATATTTTCTGCACTGATATTTACAGCTTTGAGATCAACTGCACTGGGTTCTGTTTGGTTTAAAAAAAAAAAAAGGAATTAGTAATACAGCAAAAACATTTGCTGAAAGGAAAACAAAACAAAAAAATGCTCCAATATTAATTCACATAATATAATTGTAGTTTTATACTACAGATTTATTTTATAACATCTACCACAACATTTGATAACAGTGATCGAAAAAGGTCTCTCTTACAATCATGTTTTATTTTGACCTATGGCTACTGAATACTTATACCAATTTTATGAGGTACAGAATGAAATGTCACTTCTGTCTTTATGTACAAGGCATAATGTACCTTATTAACATACCTCAATTCACATTCATGTAATGTCTTGCTGGCTTTGATCTGGAAGATCTTAACACCATTCTAGGAATGGTCTTCACATGTAATAATACATTCTTGGCTTCCCAGCATTTTTCTTATTCAGCCTCATGGCCTCAACATTACTAAGTCCCTTCTTTTACTATAACTGGTCTTCTTCTAATCTAGACAGTCTGAGCTAGACTAATTGGCAATTTTTGTCCCAGTGTACCATTCTGGCTGTTCTGAACTGTAGACCTGGTCTTGCCTCAGCGAACCAGTGAAAAAACGCCAGTGAATTTAGCACTTTATTTTTATAGGAATTCATTAAGGCATTATCAGTTTCGCTATGTGACAGCCAAAATCTGTGTGCACATCTGACCATGCCTTTTAATTGAGATTTGATTGTGAGGATGAGATACTTTAATTGTTCCTCAGTTTCTGCTCTACAAGATAGCTAGTATTTTTGTGTACAAAATCCATCTATATTTCACACCTGTTAATTTTCTAAATTTAAAGTAACTTTTCCAGTAAAGAATATGGAACAATCTTGAAAAGTACCTTAGAAATGTTAGATTTTGGAGTTGTATTACATAATAATACAGGCAATTATACAGATAGTCAAGGGGTCACAAAGATTACAACTAGAAGGATATACATAAAAGACTGTAATTACAAAATATGCTTCTACCGTCACTCAGTGTTGCACTTATGGATGTCAGCTTATTGGATAGTCGACTAGTCGCTAGTCCCTTTCCTTCCCCCCTGCCTCTGATAGAGGCAGCAAATGTGTGTGTGGGAGGAGGAGGAGGAGCCAGCCTAAAAGCCAGTTCCCCCAGCACCATTCCGTGGGGAGCAGAGGAGTAGCAGGGACCCGGCACTGTTCCTCTAATTCTTAAATATATGAAGAGCCTTAATAGATTTAGAAATCAGCTCTTAATATATTTAGAAATCAGAAGTGCAGCCAGGAGGACCTGTCACGAGCCGGGACAGCTGGGTCCCCCACTGCGCTCCAGCCTTTTTTCGATTAAGGCTGGTGTGCAGCAGGGGGACCTGGTATGAGCTGGGAATCAGCTGTCTTGGCTCGCACTGGATCCCCCCGCTGAGTATCAGCCTTTTAAATGTATTAAGCATCTGCTGGCTCTTAATGTATTTAAAAAGCTGGTGCACACAGGGGCGGCCCGTGAGCCTAGGCGAGCTAAGCAGCTGCCTAGGGAGCCACTGGCCTGGGCGCCTGATGATGACATCATGGGGCGCTGGAGCGCCCCGTAATGATGTCATGGCCATTGACGGCCGTGCAGGCAGGAGCACTGATTTCACCGCCCCGCCTAGGGCGCCAGTTGCTGCAACCGGCCTCGGGCCGCTCCTGGGTGCGCAGCAGGAGGGACCCAGTGTGAGCAGAGCTGCAGCAGGCAGATCTGCAGCGGGGTTAGCTCCCGGGGCTGGGAGCTGACCCCACTGCAGTTCCCGGGGGACCCAGTGTGAGCAGAGCTGCAGCAGGCAGATCTGCAGTGGGGTTAGCTCCCGGGACTGGGCGCTGACCCCACTGCAGTTTCGCCACTTACTGACTAATTTACTAGTCGATGGAAAATCCATCGACTAGTTGATTAGTTGATTAAACGAAATTTAACATCCCTCATTGCACTGAGTTTCAAATCCATAGATCTGCCAGATTTTTTAGAATGAAATGATCAAAAGGGATTTCTTTGCTTTATACATTGACAAAGATGGACACTTACAATGAAATACAGCACTTCTGGGCATTTTTTCTGAAGGAAACTGCCATTCAACATATAAGAAACTCCGTCATGAAGAAGGCCACAATCTTAACGGGTGAAGATTTCTCTCCCACAGACAGAGTGGGATGGCCGTGATGATGGTGGGAAGATCCCCCCCATTGTAACACTTTTCTATTGATTGAAGTGCTAGGTTATATTATCAATTCTGTGGACCAGACTCTTATCAATCACAATTCCTCAGCTGGAGGAACACTGGTTTCAGTGAATCTTTGCTAATTTATGTAAACTGAGGAGCCATATTTTTTACATTTATTTGTCCTGAAGTATGTTTCAAGGTGTTCTGCTGCTCCCCACCCCCACTCAAGCTTTTTTTTAAAATCTTTGGTTGTTATTGCTCTCTGTATAATCAATCTTTCAGTGTGCAGGTCACAGCCCCTATTGAAGGAAGATTGTGTGAGAGCAAGCACCACAGAACTGGATTTATAGGAACATAAAAATAAATCTTACAAACATTACTAAATCTTCACATAACCCAATGAATGATGATGTGTCATCTACACGTGTGTTTTGTGAAACATATGAAACAGTGTAATACCAAAGTATGTTTGTGCATATAACCATAACAATTCATAATTATTTACTTAATCCATAGTATCTATCTTACAGACTTTTCATCTGCTTTGTCTTTTCCTTTGAAACACATGGCTGGCTTGATTATTAGTCAGGTATACATATATTTATAAAACAAATAGAATTTATAATACTTGGAAATATTTGACTTTGCATCACTACAGAAGGGAAGGAATAAGAAATCAGTATTTTTCATTCTCCCCTAAAACTTCTCATGATTTATTCTTTTCAGTTTTACAGAATCTCAAAATGATGTTCTGAAATCTACCAATCAGCCTAGCACTATAAACTGCAGCAGGGTTGTGCTGGCAGAAATGACTGAACTCAGACTGAACAGTTACCAAGTGATTAACTGAAATGTAGAGATTTCTGTCAAAGATGTACAGAAATGTCATGAAATGTATAAAGGTGACACACGTTGAGATGACAGATTATAATTTCAGGATGTTTTCTTGAAAGAGGTTTCAATGACTTACTTGTACGAATATCTATGGGGATAGACTCTCCTTCAATCCCTGCAACTTGTGCAAAGACCTTAATTTCATACAAGGTACCAGGTTGTAATCCTGTAATGGTAGCAGACTTGTTTTCAGAAGTGGTGTTTTTTAGAGATGAATTTCCCTTAATTCCATAGAGTATTCTATAAGTGTAATTAGAAGCCTGAAGATCTCTGTTTTCCCAAGTCAAAGTTATATTTTCTGTACTGACATTTGTAGCATTGAGGCCACCAACTGCACTGGGTTCTATTTGGTAAAAAAATATAGGCATTAGTTGTATGGCTGAAAGGAAAACAAAGCCATTAGTGCTCCCATATTAATTCACACTATTTAACTGAGGTTTTACTCTACAGATTTATTTATTACAGCATTCAATAGCAGTGATCCAAACATTCATCACTTATAGTATGGGCTATTATACAGACACTCAAGGTTCAGAAAAATTACAATTAGAAGAATATACATTAAATATCCTCATTATAAAATATGCCAACAGAGTCACTCAGTGTTGCGCTACATTTCACCCCTATGGATCTGCCAGGTTTATTAGAATGAAATGTATTAAAGGAGATTTCTTTGCTTTACACACAAGACTTCATTAATTCATAGCCTCCTACAGAATTTGTATTCGTGTCCATACAAAGGTTTATTTATTCTGCTTAGGCTAAGAGGCAGTAAGGACTGAGAAGGCCTTACAGTAACTTTCTTCATCCACAACTGAGCATTTCCTAGTGGTGAATCACTGCTTCCCCCTCACTCTTGATCCCCTTTTCCACCTTCGGGTTTGGTCATCTAGGACTGAGCAGCAGCACCACTGACCTCCACATGTCTGCCTACCTCATTTCTCCTGCCTGCACCATACAAGGTGTTTGAAGGCTGCTAGCACCATCTGCTGTCCTTTCTATAAGCTACTTATTGCAGTGATTTTCATCCAGGGGTATTCAGAGGTCTTCTAGGGTATACATTAAACTTATCAAGATATTTGCCTAGGTTTACAACAGGCTACATAAAGAGCACTACTTAAGTCAGTACAAACAAAAATTTCATACAATGACTTGTTTACGCTGCTCTATAAGCTGTACACTGAAATGTAAGCACAATGTTTGTATTCTAGTTGATTTATTATACAGCACAATGAAAAGGTATTACATTTTTCAGTAATAGTGTGCTATGATATTTTTGTATTTTTATGTCTGATTTTGTCGTTTCTAAGCGAGGAGAAACTTGAGATACACAAGACAAATCAGACTCCTGAAAGGGGTACAGCAGTCTGGAAAGGTTGAGACCCACTGACTAGGGTGACTAAGTATCTAGGTTTGGACCAGAACTCCCATTCAAACAGGGGATCCTGGCGGCTCCAGTCAGAACAGGTCCCAAATACATTGATCACTTAGACCCTGAGCATGTGGAAAAGACCCACCAGCCAGATGTTTGGGAAGGAATTCTCAATAACTCAAAGCCTTCCCCACCTACTGTCCTATGACCAGGTACAGGCAGTCCCCGGGTTACATGGATCCGACTTACATCGGATCCCTACTTACAAACGGGGTGAGGCAACCCCGCACTAGCTGCTTCCCCCCAGCAGACCAGGGAGACGCGAAGCGGCTTTTCTCAGCAGACACCTCAGCTTGAGAATAAAGGACTGAGGGAAGTGAGGTGTGAGAGAATAAAACTGAGCTCTGGAGAAATGTTTGACTAGAGTTTCCCCTACAAAATGTACCAGTTCCGACTTACATACAAATTCAACTTAAGAACAAACCTACAGTCCCTATCTTGTACGTAACCCGGGGACTGCCTGTATTAGAAATAAATGCTGCTAAGTAGTTGCAGATCAGCTACATGCCATTGTAGGTAGTTTTATCATGCCATCCCTTCTATAAACCTATCAAGCTCAGTTCTGAAATCCCAATCCGCTCCTTGTAAGCAAGTTTCTGAAATTCACTCCTCAGATGGTTAGAAACAAGTAAAAACTCAGTCATGACCAGTTTGTTCTTGTGTGAACATTGGCACTGAAATAACTCCTCTCCCTCCCTTGGTGTTTATTCCTCTGATGGGTTAAGCAATCATATCTCCCCTTAGCCTTCTTTTGGTTCGGCTAAACAAACCAAAGTCTGTGGGTTTGCTCTCATAAAGTAGGTTTCCCATTGCTTGGATCATTCTAGGAGCCCTTCTCTGCACTTGTTCCAGTTTGAATTCATCTTTCTTAAACACGGGAGATCAGAACTGCACACACTATTCCAGATGAGGTCTCACCGGTGCCTTCTCTAATGGTACTAATGCTTCCCTGTCTCTATTGGAAATACCTCGCCTCATGCATTCTAGGACTGCATCAGTCTTTTTCATGGCTGCATCATGTTGGCAGCTCATAGTCATCTGCAATCAACAGATACATCCAGGTCTGTATAGAAACCTCTGAGAGAGCCTTTACAGCGATACAACTGCATTCAAACTCAGAGGTACGTTTATTCCAGCTAGAAAAATCATGCCCTAATTGAAATAGTTCTGGTGGATCAAAAACCGTACACAGGCCTAAGAGAAGCAGTCAAATGTGCACATCACTTCTACCTGAGTCTACAAAGCAATTTTCACATCCCAGGATTTCCCATCACAAAATAAGAAATCTGCACTCAAACCATTTTGGATTAATCAAACAGTGTCTAACAGTGAAAAAAAGAACGTATCAATCAGGTTCTCTTTCATGTAAAAGTTCCTTTTTACCATTCTGGCAGTGATGCCCACTGCAAGGCCAATTTTCATAAAAACTCAGGCCTATATTTTAAGATAATTTATTTAAGGCTGATGTTCAGTAGTTATCTATAATTCTAACAAAAGACAAACAGGCAGAAACCTCTTGGAAATCTTTGATTGTCCCCATTATGCAAACTAAGGAATAGTTTATAATTTAATATTTATAGTTCTTCCCTAAAATTCACCTCATTATTTATTCTTTTCAGCCTTAAAAGCGCAACTGCAAGTTGATTCCTACATTATGTTCTTAAAGCTACTAATCAACACAAACTGCAGCAGTATTGTGTGGGCAGAAATCACGTAACCTAAACAGAATCATTACAAGCTGATTAACTAAAACTAGGGTTTTCTGTCAAACATGTGTAGAAATTTCATAAAACAAACCAAGTGATGATGTGACAGAGTTTGAAATGACAGATAATAATTTCAGAATGTTTTCTTGAAACAGGTTTTTAATTACTTACTTATGTAGGTCTCTATGGTGGCAGATTTTCCTTCAATCTCTGCAATCTGTGCAAACGTTAGGAGTGATCCAAACATTTGTCACTTACAATCATGTTTTATTTTGACCTATAACTACTGAATATGAATATTAATTTTTGTCATTATGGACCTGGCAAGACAAGCTGTTTTGCTTGTGAAAATACCTCAATATGCTTTCATGTAATTTCTTGTTAGTGACATTGTCCTTGAAGTTCTTAATACCATTCTAGGACTTGTCATTACATGGATTATCACATGCTTGATCTCTCAAGCATTTCCCTTATTCGGTGTCATGGCCTTGACATTAAAAAGTGCCATCTTTTACTATACAACTGGCTTTCTTTTAGACATTTACTGATAAGAGGACAGTCCTTAGAACTTGTTAAGAATTCACTGACATATTCAAGTAGGATATTCTGGCCTAGGTTTTCATTCATGTGCATGTAAGGATTTATTTGACATATTCTACTTATGCCAGAAGGAAGTCAGGACTCAGGAGGCCTTAGTAACAATTCTTGTCCCCAATGAGGCATTTCTTAATGGTAAATCACTGCTTCCCCTTCACCCCTCAATGTCGGGTTTGGTCAGCCAGGACTGAGGAGCAACACAACTGAGCTCCACAACACTCACATGTCTGCCTACCTCATTTCTCTCGCCCATACCATTCAGGGTGTTGAAGGCTGTTACAACTATCTGCTGCTCTTTCTAGAAGATACTTACTGAAACTGTGGGAAAAGGGGCCTTGCTGAACGTACGACAATGTGAGGAGAGGGCTCTAGAATACAAGGTCACCCCCCCGCCCACACACAATCTGGATATGTTGTACAGAGCCATGTATGTTATATAAGTAATTGCAGGAGTGATTTATCATGTATTTCAAATATAGAAGTCAGAGTCCAAAGACTCCTCTAGCCCAACTCTATACAATTGTCTATGCTGCCAGCCGAAACCGTCAAAGAGAAAGGAAAGGAACCCTTCCTACATAAAAAGTCTACCACTAGACTGACAGCACTTGCGTTCATGAAATATTGTATGGCCACATGTTTACAAACTGTTTTCAAAGGCTGCTAAGTAGGTATGGGGCTTTGACATAATGTGCTTCACCACTTTGCCAGGAATCAAGCCAGAGCCATTCTCCACTATGCTGCTGGCTTTCTCCTGGTGTAGACAGGAATTAAAGATGGTAGGAAAGCTAGAAAATGAAAAGACACTCGCTCCTGTCCCAACCTCTGGTCACTTACTTGTTGTAATGTTTTTGCAGCATTCGTCTGTACCATTAGAAAAGTAGACACTGTATTGTACACCAGGGAAAAGACCGCTTACTGAACTGTTGTTCAATGAAGAGTTCAAGAACTGTGTTCCATTTGCAAAAGTTATGTTACTTATTGTAAAGTTGCCTGATGATGTAACAATTATTTCTGTTGACGTTGTATTTACATTTATTGAGCTGCAATTGTTAAGGCCTATAAGATGAGGAAAAAATACAGAAAAATGGTTAAGCACCTTCACATGATTCTGGCATTTCACTTCATGTATGTGCATTCATTTCTGTTACTGCTAATTAAGTTTTCTTCAGACTACAAAATCACCACTTAATACTGCTTTCCTGTTCCCTGCTTTTTCCTCAGCCTTTTTCACTTTGAGTTAATGGAATAAACAATTAACCCAAGACAATTAACAGGTTTGCAAAAGCTAACATGAACACACTCCCCACTTTTAACCAAGGCCATAAACATTTATTCTTTATTCTTAAAGAAAGGTAAGCAGAGACCTGTCTATCTGCAGATATCTGTGGATGTGGATTTCCAGGGACCATTTTCATAGCTAGTGGAGTGAATATCCCCTTCGCCTGGCTGCCAGACAAAGGGGAGGGCAAGCCCCAACACTGCCAGTGGTGCCTGGGCCCCCACCCTCCTGACTGGTGAGCACTGACCTGTGGGCACCCCAACCCCAGTCCGGCTCAAGGGCACATGCTGTCCACATCACCTGCTGTTCTGTGCTGCCGGCTGGCTATTGTAGCTGGAAGCATGAATGGGAGAGGCAACTCATTTCTGGGAGAGGAGGGCTCCCAGCAAAGCAGTGAGCTGCCCTGCTTCAAGGGCGGGGGGGGAGAGTGTGTCTTGGCTCTGTCAGGCGAGGGCTGATGCTGCAGGGGGCAGTGCCTTGGGCAGCAGCTGGTTCCTGGCAGCATGGTCCTCCCGCGGGCTCCCAGCAAAGCGTCAAGCTGCCCTGCTCTGTGCCCAAGCTGCAGATGAAAGCAAAAACTTTGTGGAATTTCTGCCAATCTGACCCAGGGTCAAATTCCTTCCTGATCCCAAATATATTGATCAGTTAGACCTTGAGCTTCTGGACAAGATGCACCATACAGATACCTGGGAAGTAATTTTGTATAGTAACCCAGAGCCCTCCCCATCTAGTGTACCATCACCAGTCATGGGAGGTACTTGGCGCCAGCAGGCACAGAATGGCTACGTGCCACTGTCTGTTGTTTTATCAGATCCACCCCCTCCATAAAACTACCAAGCTCAAGTCTTTTAGACAGTTAGGAGTTTTGCCTCCAATGCTCCCTTAGGAAGCTGGTTTCACAAGTTCACTCCTCTGATAGTTAGAAACCTTCATCTAATTTCAAGCCTAAACTTATGGACGGCCAGTTTATAGCCATTTGTTCTTGTGTCCAAAGAGTAAACAAAAATACTAAACAAAATCATAGAGAAGCAATAGACTGGTACTTACAGACAGCCGCAGGTATTATCTGAAAACAAAATAATTAATAGAAGTTAGATAACTAAGCATTGGAGGCACAAAAGAGAAATTAAACATCATAAAATGAATAGCTAATCAGACCAAATCTATTTTTGTTAGCAGGTATCAAAACTTTTGATATGCAAAACGGACACCCAAGATTTACAAACATACAAAATACAGGTTGGACCTTCCTGGTCCAGCACACCCAGGACCTGAGTGGTCCCAGAAGAGGGATCTTGCTGGACCGGGGAGGTCATTTCTGGCCTCTCTGCTACCGGGCCCACTGAGCCCTGCCCCAGCCATTGGCTTCCCGGCCAGCTCCTCCGCTCCCACTGCCAGCTCCCCTGTCCCCATCCCCAGGCTTCCCAGTCTCACCAGGTAGCCCAGTAAGCCCTGCTGGAAGCAGCCCAGCCCTCCCCCAGGACTCTTTGATCCTGGAACATTTGTGGTCCTGCTGGACCACGGATGTTCTGAACCAGAGAGCCCCGGTTTAGAGAGGTTCCAACCTGTAGTGGCAAGAAAATACTTATTTAACAGGAAAAACCAACAAAGCCCCGGTTTAGAGAGGTTCCAACCTGCAGTGGCAAGAAAATACTTATTTCACAGGAAAAAGCAACACACAAAAACATGTTCAAAGATTACAGCTCTACTATGGCGGGGTTGCACAAAAATAATAACAATTAAATATGTTGTTATAAAAATAGGTTTAAACAACTTCTTATTTTATTCTGTACCTAAATAATTATAAAAGAAACCTGTACAATCTCAGAAAAAATACTAGAAAATGCGTCTTAGGGAGCCATCTTCCCTTGGAAGGGACCAGTCTGGGCCTATAGACTTTTCCACCTATGATTTACAGGATTCTTCCTTACTCCTTAGAGAGTACTATACAATAAGCGTTACTCAGGGAGGACTAGTTCATATGTTTCTGATCCAAAGCTCACTGAAGTTACGCAAATTTGAAAAATCTGATTAATAAACTGTAAACAGTGTTATTTTTGTTGCATATGTCTGTCTGAACATGAGCACATTCTCCAAGAACTGTAATCGCCAGCCTTTCAGATAGCAATGCCGACAGAAGAGCAAAAGTTCAAGCAGGTGCTTTGCAATTTCTGGAATAAGCTGCATTAGTACCTGCACACATTTAAGGTGGAAGCTCCCAAGCTTTTCTTGCTGCGCTCTGCTTTGGAGATTCATTTCCCACTTCTTTCTAAGAAACTGGGCAGGGTGTCCCACTCCTCACTTGTGAGCATCCCCTCTCTGATTGCCAGAAGCTGAGATTGGGCGACAGAGGAGAGATCACTTGATGATTCCCTGTTCTGTTCATTCCCTCTGGGGCACCTGGAATTGGCTACTGTCAGAGGACAGGATACTGGGCCAGATGGACCTTTGGTCTGACCCAGTATGGCTGTTCTTGTGTTCTTATATGTTCTGAATGAGTGATAGCCAATTGGGCTGCACCTCTTTCCTTGTGGTCCCTGGGACTCCCCAGAATCACTCACAGGCCACAGGCTCATTTGGCCCTGATGTGAGCCTCAGCATGCATACACAAGAGCCTGCACAGGCAGGGAGAAACTCTTACAAGGGGGCAGATGCACATGAGCCTCTGGAGACGAGAGGAGAGGAGAGCAGAGCAGAGCAGAGGAGAGGAGAGGAAACAGACATGCTTGCCATTCCCTGAAGCTGCTGCAGAGGGAGACACTATGCCCCAAACTCCTCCTAGTTCTTCCAGTCTGGCAACAGTGGCTAGCAGGCTCTGCTAGGTCCTCACACCCACCTGATAATCTTGGCACCTGCCTTCCCACCTAATGTGCCCCTTTGAAAACCAGTGATGTGGTGGAACTGACCCACAATTATTTTCTTCCACCAGTAGGTGGCAGCAGACAACATGGATTAGAAAATGCACACTAAAAACCAAAGCAGCAGTTCTGCAGGCACACTGGACAGGAAAACAAACTAAATTTTTCAGATCTTCATAACCTACTGGTGCAAACTTCCTTTGCTGCATAATGGTAATTTATTTTAACAATGACATGTAGGAATTAAACAGACAAAATTATTTACTTAATATAACTTGCAAATATGTGTATGAACAGTTCATTCAAGTAGTACATAGATACCAAGCACAATAAGCTTTTAAGAAAAGGAAGAAAGAAACCCTGTAATAGCATCATTCATTCACCTCTTGCCCCTACTTCATTTCCTCAAAATCCTCAAACCCAGGGTTTTGTAGTTCTGACAAGTGGCGAATCACTTTAGCACTAGCAGTCCTTATCTGCATGGCTGTGTCTACACTGGCCACTTATTCCGGAAAATCAGCCGCTTTTCCGGAATAACTTGCCAGCTGTCTACACTGGCCCCTTGAATTTCCGGAAAAGCACTGACGATCTACTGTAAGAAATCAGCCACTTTTCCGGAAATACTATGCTGCTCCCGTTCGGGCAAAAGTCCTTTTTCCGGAAAACTGTTCCGGAAAAGGGCCAGTGTAGACAGCACAGTAGTATTTTCCGCAAAAAAGCCCCGATCGCGAAAATGACGATCGGGGCTTTTTTTGCGAAAAAGCACGTCTAGATTGGCCACGGACGCTTTTCCGGAAAAAGTGCTTTTCCGGAAAAGCATCCTGCCAATGTAGACGCGCTTTTTCCGAAAATACTTATAACGGAAAACTGTTCCGTTTTAAGCATTTCCGGAAATGGGTGCCAGCGTAGACGTAGCCCTTGAGTATAAGGAAATTCTCCAGGAACAGGAAGGTTTCTCTCTCCTTGGCATTGGCTAGGACTCATCCTCAGTCCCTAAATGGACTGAGCAGCTGGCCAACACCTTCCATAGGCATGGGAGCTATAGGTGCAGGAGCTGCCTGCAGCACCTCCAGCTTTTGCGTGGGGTCTGGCTGCTAGCCTGGAGCCCTGAGTTCCCGCTGCCAGCCCTATGTCCAATGTTCTGCACCCACTCCCAGCTGTGGCCCTCAGTCTCAGCTCCCTTGCCACTTCTGGGTCCCCCTCTCCCGAAGCCATGGCCCTGCTCCCGGCCCCAGCTGTAGGGGACAGTAAGGGGCACGGACAGAGGTATGGGTGGATGGGGGAGGGACTCCACTCAGCTCCCCCACTCTAAAAACTGTTTCATTGGCACCTCCCCCGCTAGTATTATTTCCAGATTTATAAAGGCCAGACTCATCATCCATTCCGATGTGACTCACCCCATACTACGATAAGGAGACACTAGGGGCCTGTATGAGATCATGCCTAGCTTTGCACTAATGTAAAACTTCATGTAGATGAGGTACTGTGCAAATTTAGAGAGATTCGAGATTCAGGTGAATAGCACATTCATCTTATATGGTTCAGGTTTGGTCTCACTTCATGTACTTGTGCCTCTCAGAGGGTTACTCCAGGCTGCAGTGATCATCAATTCTGCTGGCCTACCAGTTTTACCTCAGGGTATGGCTACACTTGCTCCCTATCTCGAGATAGGGATGCAAATGTAATGTACCGAAATTGCTAATGAAGCGCGGGATTTAAATAACGAGGTTTAACAGTTATTTCGAGAGAAGGATTTTCTCTCGAAATAATGCTGCTACATGGGGCATTTTATTTTGCAATAATGCAATTTCAAAATTTAAATTCCACACTTAATTATCAATTTCGGTACACTACATTTGCATCCCTATCTCAAGATAGGGAGCAAGTGTATACCCTCAGAGAATAAAGGTAAGGATATGACTTCCCTCATCAACAAATCAGCTAGGAAGTCAATCATTCTTGACTCCAGTACCCGCCACAATAAAATTAGCACAGGATGTGGATTCCCCTCTGCTCTGGTACATATTCACCATTACATGTTCCACAAACTTTTTAAGGTGCTTGGAAAATGCTGTCCATACATAATTCTGACTGAATATTCAGTGCACAAAAAAGCTGTATGGTACCTTAGTCATCTGGCACACACATTTCCTACCTCTCCTCTCTGCAATGGTGTGCCTCCCCGGCTGAGGCTGCTTGTTTAGTAAATGGATATCATCTTTTAATGCCACATGAGGTTAGCAAACACTTTCTTTCCTCCCACCCACTGGACTACTTTGCGTTTTCTGACTGTAGTGATAAGCCACCTTTGGTCATGCTGTTAAAGACGCTACATTTTAATGATTACACATTTCACCCAAAGTTCTGGTTCATGTCATTGTGAATTAGTCATATGGAGCCTGTCATGTTCACAGATCCCCAAGAAGGGAACAAGGGGGATGCGGGAACAAAGAAGTGGAAGCTTTTCAGCCGGCTCCCTGAATATGCCCTGCTCCTGTGAGCTGCCTTCCCACAGAGGCAGCAATGCATGGGGACTATAGAATAGTTGAGTAATGGATAAGAATTGATGAGGTTAATCAACTATTCAATAAAGTGATATTTAACATCCCTACTAACATCCCTTTTTCTTGTGGGAAGTGCTTTGTATTCATGCCTGTCAGTGTGAACGAAGCTATTTGCATATATATATCTGCATGTATATGCAACTACACTTAAGTTCCAGCCCTCAGCATGTGCTGTGAGTATCATTGTGGCCTCCAGGGCTTCCGAAGTTGAGTAGCCCTGCTTTACAGTAACACAGTTGCCCTGGTACAGCATTGCCACTCTATAAGGTCTGTAGAGTAGACATATCCTAAGGTACAGAGAGCTGAGCCCACAAAGCAAAGCACACAACACAGAATAAAGCTGCTTCTCACAAGTCAGGTCAGGATTTTAATTTTTTTCGTACCCTTAATGTTCTGTCAAATGGCTTCCTACTTCTGTATTTACATTAACAAAACGACTTTGCTTTGGAAACATGAGTGGATAAGGCAGGTGTTGTCCTAAAGGCAGGTTTTTTCCCCTTCTCCAGGAACCCAGGGGAAAAAAATGCCTCCCACTGAGTCATTGTACACAATGCCTAATCATTTTGCACAGGGACTGCATATCACCACATGGCAAGTAGCCACAACTTTTGCTCAGCTTTTCATACCCTGTTTTTCCCTTTCTC